ATATATATATATATACATGATCACCCTACTAACTTAATTCCCAATTAACTAATGCTAACTACTTTAACTACTCTATCTAACTGGTGACAGGTGGCTAACTGTCCATTAACTTGTCCAGCTGTCATACTCCCTCATATTCTCACAATCCCCTCAAGCGGGAGGGTATAGAATATTAAGCACTCCAAGCTTGCACAACAAATATTCATGTTATACTCTCCCAAGTCCTTTAGTCAATAGATCTGCCTGGTGCTATTTTGTCCCTATGTGATGAGTCTTAATCTTACCATCTTTGATCTTATCTCTCACAAAGTGATTATCAATCTCTATGTGCTTAGTCCTTTCGTGAAATATAGAATTGGCTGCAATCTATAGGGCTGCCTTATTGTCACAAAACACACTCACATGTTGTACAATTGAAATGCCAAGCTCTGTAAACAACCCAAGTAGCCAAACTACTTCTGCAGTAGCTGTTGCAAGACTTCTATATTTTGCTTTTGCTGAGCTTCTAGACACTGTCTGATGCTTCTTAGATTTTCATGACACCAATGATTCCCTAAACTTCACAAAGAAACCAGTTGCTAATCTTCTAGTATTAGGACATGCAGCCCAGTCTGCATCATAAAAGCAAGTCAGACTGTTTGCACTTTTACTGCTCAGTAGAATGCCCATTCCTAGATTCAATTTGATAAATCTTACAACTCTTATTGTTGCTTCCCAGTGAGATTGCTTGGGTGACTGTATAAACTGACTGAGTGTTTGGACAGCAAATATTATATCTGGCTTTGTGATCGTCAGATATATTAATCTTCCAATCAATCTCTGATAACTTGCAACATCCTTCATCAATTCTTCTTAGATACTCCAACATGTGCATTAAATTCTGCTAAAGTGAACTTTTGATTCATATCTATTGGAGTGGCCACATGTTTAGTAGCTCTGAACCGCAGATCAAAAATCAATTTCAAGACATACTTCCTTTGATTTAGTAAGACCCTTTGTTGGATCTCATAACTTCAATTCTCCCAAATCCTTTACTTTGAATTTGTGATTTAAAACATCTTTAGTTTCATGAATGAACTGCTCATTGTTTCCTGTGATGAGCAAATCATCCACATACACAAGAACAACCACAAAATCTGTTCTTTTCTTCTTGGTAAACAGTGAATAGTCATATATACCTTGCTTATACCCTGCTTCAAGAAGTGCCTCTGTAAGATTGATATTCCATTTGTCTTGAAGCTTGCTTTAGTCCATATAAGGACTTCACTAGCTTGCATACCTTGGTCTCCCCCTGTTTTCTAAAACCTTGATGCATTTCCATATATACTTCTTGTATAAGTCTCCCTGCAAAATTACATTATACACTTCCATTTGATACATAGTCCACCATTTTATGGTGCTACTGTAATGACTGACCTCACAGTTACCATTTTGGCAACTGGTGAAAAGATCTCATGGTAGTCCAACCCCTCTTTTTTGGGTGTATCCTTTTGCTACTAGCCTGGCCTTGAATCTTTCAACATCTCCATTAGCTTTGTATTTTATTTTATACACCCATTTTGATCCAATTGTGTTCTTTCCCTTGGTTCATGCTCAAATGATACAGTCCCCTTAGAAGGAACATTAACAGGACGCAATGAGGAAGACTTAGCAAATGGGAACATATGCTCTTTGAATACAATATCCCTGCACACAAAAAAATGATTAGTTGCAAGGTCCAAGAGCTTGTAGCCCTTTTGTGTGCCTGAATAGACCAGGTGCACAACAGGTTTGGCTTTTGCTGAAAATTTGTTGTCATATATCATAGTGGTGGCATAGCACAAGCAACCAAAAACTCTTAAGTGCTCAAGAGAAGGCTTCTGATGACGTAGGAGTTCATATGATGATTTGCCTTGCAGAATGATGGAAGACAACATGTTTATAATGTAAACAGCAGTAGTAATACATTCTCCCCAGTACTTAGTTGGTACATTTACCTGAAATTTTAGGGCCCTTGCTGTATCTAGTATATGTCTATGTTTTCTCTCAACTACCTCATTTTGTTGGGGAGTATAAGCACAACTACTTTGATGTATAATACCATAGTGTTCAAGTAATTCAACACATTTTTTACTAAAAAACTCTCCTCCATTATCAGTTCTAATAGTCTTAATTAATGGCTACATAAAATTGTGTTCTTAGCATAGAGAGAAACCTTTGTAACATAACAATTACATCACTTTTCATCTGTAGTAAATGTACCCAAGTATACCTAGAATGATCATCCACAACTGTTAGAAAGTTGTATTTTCTATCATGTATGGGAATCTTGTATGGTTCCCAAACATCCATGTGTAAAAGTATTAAAGGACTACTACTTCTTGTAACACTTCTAGAAAAAACTAGTCTGTTTTGCTTAGCTAAAGGATATACAGAACAATCTTTATTCACATCAAGATCTTTAAGCTGTAAGGAGTCTATGTATTTCATTGTACTAACAGAGGTGTGACCTAATCTTTTATGTCAAAGAATGCCATTTACTTCTGGTTTCTGGACTGCTGCAACTGATGCTTGCCTCAAACTTCTAGCAATGTGCTCATCTTTCACCATATGCAGGCCTCCCCTTTCCTTACCAATCCCCTTCATCCTGCCACTCCAAAGGTCCTGAAATACACAAAAGTCAGGATAGAGGTGAACGGAGCAACTGAGTTCTTTTGTGAGCTTTAACAGAGACAACAAATTGAATTTGAAGTTAGGAACATATAAAACATTCTTAATCTCCATGTCCTTAAGAAATGTTGCACTGCCAATGTGAGATATATTTGTCTTCTCACCAATAGGTAAGTGAACTTGATCTCTACCAGTTTTCAACTCAGTCTTAGAGTGTAGTATATCTAGGGAAGTAGCTATGTGATGAGCACCAGAATCAACTATCCATTCTTTACTAGGATTATTAGTCATTAGTGCAGTAGCAATACCTGCCATGTTGACTTGTGGAAATGTGGTGTCTTTATTCAGCATATCCAGAATTTGTCTATATTGATTCTCAATGAAGAAGTGCCCTCCTGCAGGACCATTATTGTGTGTTCTTCCTCCAACCATGTGTGCTTGTTCCTCATGCTCAGCATTACCAGTTGCACAATTGGACACAACCTTCCTTTTAGCATTGAAATCTGTAGGATAGCCTATCAACTTATAGCAATTTTCTTTCAAGTGTCCAGTTATCTTACAGTAGTCACTTTCATGAATGCCTTTTTCCCTTTGT